AAGCCAAAAAGAAAATAATTCAGGTCAAAAGCCATTGAAATGCTGTAGCCCCCAACACAATTAACCAAATTATAACTCTTTTCCTTGTTAAATCGTTTTCTCACATGGGTCCCAAACATGTTCAATTTTTTTTTTTGCTTGGACCATACCAATAAATGGAGAACTTTAATTTCTTCCTTCTCTCTCTTCTCTTAAAATAAATAATAAAGAATAATTAGTTTTTGAGTAATAATATATAAATAAAATAATTATATACAAAATGATTTAATTTTTTATGACGGTTTCATTTTAAATCGAAATATCTACCATTACAGCTTATAATGAAAAAAAAAAAAAACATTTGTTAGTGATACATCATTTTTGTTAAATATTATGTGTAGTACAAATTTTGTTTTCTAAATTTCCTATATCATGTTTCCAATTATGCGGCATATCTTTCATGATTTCTAATGTTTTGTTCTCAAACTTTTAATGGGGGTACCAATTCAACAAATTAATATATTGGTATTTTCAGACAAATAAAAATGACGAAAGTAGATGAAATAGATGAAACTGGCTTGACTAATTAGTACTGGAGCACCAATTTAACAAATAGACATATTAATTTGAGATTAATAAAAGTTTTGAGATAAATAAATTTAACTTTTTCTGATATTGGTTGAGTGAGAAAAATCCACCTTATTCATATAAATATATATATATATATATATATATTTCTGCCTCATTGCTATATATTTTATATGATATGATGAAAATACTCCATAATTTTACTTGAATTTGGGCAGGTTTTGTTCCCTGACCATGTTTCCTTTCCCATTGTCAACATCCTGATGAGTCACCTCACAATTCACAAATGATAACAAACAAACAAATTATATCCACTGATTTGGAGGCCCTTGCAGATCAGAAGAACAAAAGCAGACAAGAAGTTGTTGCCACATAATTAAGTAATGAGTAAATTACACTAATCTTTTATTTTTTTAAGGATAAATTAAATTGATCTCTCGTAATATTCAAAATATATATATAAATCTAATGAGTTTAATATAATTACATTGAATTTGTTTAGAATTTTAATTCATACAATAGTTGGTCTCTTTTTCATAAAAAAATTCGTAATTAATTGTATGAATGAAAAAATGATGTTATCATAATTTTTATATTGAAATGTAAAGTTTATCTTCTCTTTTTTTTTTTTTTTTGTGCTTCATACCATCTGCATCAGTTTTAATCTCTTTAATTTTACTAAAAAAGATGTCATTGAAATTATGTAAAAAATGTGAGCTTTATTGTATTTTCTCCAAACCTCACAGGAGGTCAATATAATTTATCATTTTTTTAATTATAAGAATTAATTCCTTACAGTTTTGTTAAAATTGTAATGTGACTCTTTCATTAATTGGTATTAAAGTGCCTAATGAAAAGTGTAATTTTCTTCCATCTACTATATAACGTGACTCTTCTATCTATCTATCTTATTTTCTCTATTATATTTTTTTAAATCAACCACCATCACTAGCATAGCCACTATTTTGAGAAGTGAGTTAAAAGTCACTTCCCAGCTCCACTTTTCTTTCTCACAAAAAAGTCAAAAAAAAATCAAAAAATAACTTTTAACCATCTTCCCAAAACACATTGGACACATCATTAATTAAGACATTGGCATAGATTGACTTCTTATTTAATTCACAAATAAATATAGGGGAAAAAATTCTTTTATTTTTTTGTATTTTATTGGAATTTTTCATTTTGTTAGTTGAGGGTGCTATAAACTTAAATATTAATATGATTTAATCGTAATGATTTTTCAACTTAATCTACTAATTTGTCATTGCCATCTCTCGACCAAAATCCTAGCTTCACTGGCTACCCTCCATCTTTTTCTCACCGAGCTCACTCTTTTCCCACGATTTATAGCCATTGCTCACCTCTTTCGCACCACCCCCATTGCTCTTCACCACAAATCACCACCCCACCCTTTCTCCACAAGCCCCACCTCTTCCCACCACTTAACGCCATCCCATCCTTAAAGCTGTAGTTAGATTATGAATTTAAATAATAATTTGAAAAGAGAAATAATAAAAATAAAAATAAAAACAAGGCAAGGCAAATGCAAATGCAAAAAAATTTTAGTCGCATTTCTCTCCCTTTTTTTAATAAAAAAAATTCTCTATTAAAATTCTTATTTTAAATACAACTTAAAAAAACTAACAAGTTTTTCTATACAAACAGTCAAAGAAACTAGGGCCTTTTTGGTACTACTCTTCTCTTCATTTAAAAGATGTGGCTTTAGTCTCTATGTCCAAAGAGCAAGAAACCAAAGGTATACAATGTGACATTTGATCTTCAAAACTACTTTCGGTTGAAGATTATCAATTTTTGGACACTATAATGCATCTCCATCTTTCTCTCAAAGTGATGCAGCAGGGCGTGCATGAGTGCACTGCATGGTCTACTCCACATGTTTCAAGAAAACACTGAGAAGCACAAACCACAAACATCAATCAAAGAACCCAAGCAAATCTAGACAGAGAGAGCCACGTCAATTTATTCCATGCAAAAAGTTATAAAATAAAACTATATAACCGATTTACTATGAATTTATTAATTATTAAAAAGTAAATTATTTATTTAACAAGACTATTATTTTTTTGTTTTGTAAGTCCACTTAGTCATGTTTGTTTTTTGGGCTGATTGGATTAGACTGTTAATCTTAGAATTATCAATTAGATTATATATATTATATTCTATGTTTGAATTATTTAAGAATTATGAAGGAGGCTTGACAAAATCCTATCAATTTTGCATTTAAATTAATTAGTCTAAAAGTCTCATTTCCTCCATTTTGAATCTCAATTCCTTCTTGAGATTCAATAGTCACCCTCTCACCCACATGAGAGATATTATTTCTGGATGAATTATTAGTCCAAATCCTAATTTTCCTAATCAAAAATCAAGTTGTATATTTTTTTAAATTATTAATCCAATTCAAAGAATCATATCCACCCAAACAAACATAATCTCAAGAAAAGTCTGGTCAAATAGAATATGATATGCCAAATTAAATAAAGGATTGAAAACAAAAGGTAAAATGGCCATGAAAATGATGAAGAATCTTTTAAGGCCCATTTGGGAACAACGATTGGAAGCCCAAAATCATGTTGGAGGCCCAAACATAATTCTAATGCTTGGCGTGCCATTTGCCTACGTTGCCATTGTGGTTATGCGAAATGAAAACCCCAGAGAATTATCCAGCCTTTCAGAAATTTCAGTAAGGTTGTACTAGCCTCTCACCCGTGCTATGTACGGGATAATTATACATATTTATATTTATTTCAGATTTTTTTTAATATATAAATTATGTTTTTTAAGATTTTTTGTAAAAATAATTTAACAATCTTATCCTAGCTATAGTGTATGGGAGAAATTGAAAATGGTACTGCAGTAACTATACAGGGATTGTATCTATAATTATTTGTATAAAGGGATTTTAAATGCTGATCAGAAAATTTTGACCAAATCAATAAATGCAGACAAATGGAAAGACATGTGGATTGAAAAAAGTTAATAAATGTTGATCAAGGAATTTTGACTAAATCAATAAATGCTAAGTTTTTTTTTTTAAAATAAAAAATAAAAAATTTAGAAAATTCAGATTGAGATATTGAAGCTCTCACAGGTCTTGGGGTTAAAAATTCCCTTTTCCTTAATATATAGTATAGATATTTTTCTAATTTTATTAGTTGTTTTATGTAATATATAGGAGAAAAAAAAGAAAAAATAGATACATAACTAATAGAATTACAAGGATATAGCACGTAAGATATGAAGTGAACTTGAAAAATGCTTGGGAGCACTAATTAGTGCTCCCACTAATTAGGTGGCAGTGGGTCCCGCTATTAATGATGTGATGTTTTGGTTTTGGAGTTGTATTTTTTTTTTTATATACTTTTTTAATGTATTAGTGCTATTAGTAGTGATGTTTTTAGTGGGATGAATCATTGTTGAGTGAACTTATATAATGATTTTTCCTATCTTAGAAAAGTTATATGTATATTCAATTTGTTATGTGGTGTTATGTTTATCTAATAGTAAACTATTTATAATTATTTTGTCTTAAAAACAAAATAATTTCTTATTGTTTGAATTAAGGTCACATTTTTGAGGTTTTTGGAGTCCTAAGGTTATATTTAAACACTTCAATGGAAAACTCAGATTTAAGGACAAATTTAAGTAAAATCTTCATTCATGACATAGTGGTAAATATATATTTTAAATAAAAAATTATATAATGTAAAACATAAGAATAGAATGCACCCTTATTAATCTAAAAATTATTCAAAATTTTTATTTTATGATTCAAATTTATTCTACGTATAAACCCTAACACCACACAAATTTAATCCACACTATATAACTGTCCACCCAAAAAATTCTGGGTAATAAATCTGGTCCCTAGAGTTTTCCAAAACATCATTAATATTATTTATTAAAATTTAAAAATAAAAAATAAAAAATAAAAAATAAAAAATAAAAAGCCTCATTTGAAATTTTGCTTTAGGCCCAAGAGTATAAAAAATGTTAGAAATTTTAAAATTTCTATCAAATATCTCACATGAATGTGAGATTCACATGAGACTCACATTGTATAAGTTCCAAACCCAGACATTTAGGCCTTGTTTGGTTTGTTTCTCAGAAAAATTTTTGAGAAAAATTCTCTATAAACAAATTTTTAAGAGTAATCAAACCAAACAAATTTTTTCAAAAAAAATTCTCAAAATTTTGTTTGGTTACCTACTTTTCAAAATTACTCTCTCTCTTATACACATCAAATCAATCATTTCTTTTTTAAAACTCTCTGCCCAAAATAATTTTTCAAAATCATTTCTAAAAAAAGGCAAATCAAATAAATTTCGTACCTTTTATCTCAAAAATTACTCTACAAACACAAACCGAACATACATTTAGTAAAAATTTTAGACTCTGTAACATTAGTCGTGCGTTTCATTGCGGAGTCCACCTGATTGTCACAAATCGCCGCAAGCAGAGAATTCCATACCCCCTCTTAATTCTCAAGCCTTGGGCAAGGGGTCATACAAAACCTTAATAAATCCCCTGAAATTAAACTCTGCAAATCCGACGTGTAAAACCCTAGAAAACAAATCTCGTAATTACATTACAAATCTCTCTGTATCCTCGATGGGTTTAATCAGAAGCAGTTTTCAATTTGTGGTGGGGACTGTGTTCGGAGTGTACGTTGCGCAGAACTACAGCGTTCCAAACATTCACAAGCTTGTCAACTCGGGGGTTGCAATCGCGAAGCACTTCGAAGAGAATTATCGCAAGCCCAAGAAGAAAGATGAAGGCAATTGATTGATTCACAAAGTTATTATCATGGCGTCATTGGATTCCAGCTCTTTTTTTTTTTTTTTTAAACCCTAACCCATGAGGGGTTTTTATTAGAGACTGGAATTGGGAATGAGAAATTTTTGCTTTTTATTTATTTATTTATTATTATAATTCAAAGTCGAATAATTTGATGATCTATTATTGTGTTCCCGGTTTCTCGTCTTGTTTGGTTGCCAAGAAAGTATTGGAAATGCAAAGAAAAGAAAGGCAAAAGCTTTGCAGAAATGTCTCAATTTCAATTTGAGTTTATAGTATCTTTCAATGTACATATACTGTTTGTATTTATACGGAGCACCTTAACAACTAAGGCCAAGTTTTGCATGATTGAAAAAAGACAAAAAGTCAAAAAGTCACTATTCTATTTAAGTCACATCATCTTATTTAAGTCAAATCACCTCTCTAACACATCACTTCAAACCTAACTCATATTTCATAAAAAGTCAAAAAGTGCACTTATTTAGTCTTCCCAAATTAGGCCTAAATGCAGTCAGGCATAGGCTAAAACGTGCTTTTTTGGCAAACATCGTTATAAAAATAGTTTAAAAAGCCAATAAGGTAATCATTTCAATTTTTCTCTAAAAGAAAGATAAAAAGTCTAATCCAAATGCGACTCTCTATTCCAGGCTAACCAACTGAAAGTGAAGCTCAATGACACAAAGTATAAATAAACTCATCAGTTTCGGCGTGTTATAACCATAAACGCATCCACAATGAGAAAAGTATTTTTATGTGGAAATGCAAAGTGACTTGCAAGTTACAACCTTTAACCCTGGTGCACTTTCAACTTGGCCTTTTGTTTCCACGAACTCCCATTCAATCTTCACTTCATAAGTGGTTATGTGCACCGTCAGCCATTCATTTGAATGTAGAAAGATCTTCTTGACCACCGGACTTCACAGAAGCTCAGTTTTCCTTGCCCGTCTAACCATAATTGGCTGATGAGTGGAAATGATGATGATAGATGGACTTGCCAGTGTCACTCTTTCAGCTCCAAAATGTAATATAGGTTACACTGATTCACAATACAAAGAAAGTGGTAGCCCTCAAAGTACAGAGCAATAACAGAGCCTCTGCACAACTCTCAAATACAAAGAAAACTCTCATTACAAATGCAATGGTCTCTCCTCCCTCGACCCAAGATTTCAATCAATGAGTATTAAAGCAATTGAGAACTGAAAACCCTCATGAGCTGCAATCAGCCTTGCATCCATATGCTGACAGATTCAAATAGTGCAAAGAAAATGCGAATGCTATTTTCCCACGATGGATACCTTTCACTTTTTTCTTTGTAAACAATACTCCAATGTGAAGCATGGATACCCTTGAAACTCAAAAAACATGTGGAAGTCCAGCTGGGAAAAAAGTGGGAAGAATTGGAGCCAAAATGTGCTGGACAAACTTATACAACAAATTGCTGAGTTGGCAAATAGACAACTCTTCACTCTTTTAATCATAACTCAAAAAATACTTGGAATTTCTTGATGAAGCCGATGTCATGCAACACTATACTTCCGCAACTTTCCAATGATAGTGGGCTCAAATCAAAGTTCAAATCAGGGAGATATGGCAGTTCGAATTTGACTCATCGAATTAGGAAACCAGACTGCTCGAGTGGTGCTTGGACTGCTCTTCGGATTTCACCGCTTGTACACCCTTGAACAGTTGGAGTGATGCTTCAGGCCGTGCTTGTTCTGGTTTCTGGACTTTCACCACTTGAACACCATTAGAACAGTGTTTGTTCTACTTCTATTTTGCTTTGTTTAAGCCCTCAAACACACTTAACAATTACAAATATCAAATTTCAAGATTAAAAATCATTTTTTTGTCCGGGAAAAGAGCCAACACAACGGAAAAGCCCATTTTTAGATTAAAAAGTAGATTTTTGTCTTTATTCAATAGTTGGTTTAAGGAGTGGTCAATTCATCCTTGAACCAATTTTTGGACTTTGAATAGGTTTTTGATGTATACTTGAGATATATTTTCTTCATATATGGATTGCACCCCTAGTGCCTATATATATTTTTATTTATCAAAAAAAAAAGGAGATCCAATACAACGCTGTGAACAAATAGTACTGTTGGTTAACCATATGAAAATACTTGGCATTTGATTCAATCAACATTTTCACTTAAGTGGGTTGGTTTGAGCATTCTATGAGAAATTAATTGCTCCGTCATGTGGTAAATTACACAGGAAAGGTTTAGTTTTAAGGCTTGTGCAATAATGGGATGTATAATTTTCAAGCTCTTATGATGGGTGTACTTTACACGTAATGTGCACAAAATACTATGAACAAATAACTATTTATCAAACAAATCGATTCCAATTGGAAATCAATTGGCAAACCTTGTGTTCTTATCCTAGTAAGTCTTCGGAGTGATTTCAGAAAGGTTTACATCATGCTTTGTGTTTGATCCTGGTAAAATTTTGAATTATTGATTCTGCAGTTTATAATTTTAAGATGCTGGGGCGCAAGGGAAGATATTTCCACTAAGGGCAGTTTCGTTCCGTGTTAGAAGATACAACAGCACAACTTTCAGCTGAAAAATTAGAATTTAGAACACATTTTTCTAAATGTGAGTGCAAATACTTTATAGAGAAAAGAAAGGGTCACTGCAAAGTGCAAATTTTGAAGCCAATGGTATGAGCCTATAAGGAACGATACAAGTGTTAAGAACACAGTTTTCAAAGTAACACGTCAAAATAATCTCCAGGTTCAAGATGGTTGACATATTGAGTTGAAGCTATTTTGCAGATAAAGTTACAGAGTAAAAGCATGCTGTGTGCATGTAATAAGAACAAAATGTAGCTTGGGATTCATTTTTGTGTAAATATTTCTGATTACATGGGGAACGGAATACAAATGGCTGAAACAGTTTGGCAAATATGCATAAGTAAAATAGAAGAAATCCGATGAAGGTCCCAACTAATATTACTAGTAACAATCGGGTCCTTGACTCAAAGAGAAAGTAAATCCCTAGGGATAGGCTGAAGAACCTGATTGCTGAGCTTATAGGGGCCAACCCAATGATCCTCCTAGACTGAAAGACTAGGATCGTTACCAATCCTCCATACAAAGCCCTTATTTAAGTACTTTAGTCACCTCACTGATACCACGCCAACCCCAATGTGTTGGGCTTGGAGCACAGAGACAGTAGAAAAGTATTTAGTTTTAATTATTTTGGCTCAAAGTGTATTAGGTTGTGATAGAAGTCTCCAACCTAACTTAATCCTAGCCAATATGCTCATAAGATGGATGTCTAGCACCCCCCCCCCCCCCCCCCCCCCCCACCCACCCCACACACACACCAATTGTTTGGGATAACAAAGAGTTCTGCACTTAATAAGAGGGGTGCAATTAGATGAAGGGGAACCTTCTAGAAAATTTTTGGAGTTAAAGTTCTTAGTGTTATAACAAGAGACTTAAACAAGGACAAAGAATACAAAGTAAGCTTTTTGTTTGTAAAACATAGTGAATTAAAGTAGCCAGAAGTAGCCAATCTTTGTTGAATGTTCTCATTGTGTGAAACAAGGGACACCCAATTACTTCCCTTGGTCATCAATCAAGATCACAACACTGTTAAAAATGAGAGCTAAGGCCTTACTTCTAGAGGTATTCGGTGAACCATAATTTTTTGATTTATTTAAATTTATCTTTTGAACAGAGAGGTCATATTAGTCCTGCACGATTTCTATATAACATCTCAGTCCCGGTTAACCTTCCTCAGCCTCAGAAAATGGGATAAGATCATTGTGAAAGAGATGAGCGAAGGTGATACCATATTAGGTTAGAAGGCTTCTGAACTAATCCATCGTTTCTCAACCGCTTTTTGTTGAATCATGTGGGAGAATCTTTTCATTAGAAGAACAAACAAAATAGGGTGACAAGGGACCTCCTTGGCAAAGACCTCTACCAAGGATGAGGGGAGGCAATGCCTCATTGTTCCAGAGCACAGAATAGTTGACACTGGTCACACAATCCACTATTTATTTATCCCAGTTCTTGTGGAAATTTGTAATTTCTCCAGGTTCTTTTCAGGAAATTCCAGCTAAACACAGCATACAACTTTTTTAGGTTAGTTTTCGTTTTCATACACCCTTACTTTCCTTTTTTGTTTCAGAGTGTGGATAATTTCTTGAGTAAGAATGATTTGCACAACACTTTCCATATTATATGCTCAGTTGCTTTCCACTTGGTATGAGGCATAACATTGAGTTTTCAGTTCTACTAAGTTTGCACAGTGTGTTTCTCACATCTAGTAAATATTATCTCTACTTTTCTGACTCCTGTATGCACACTAGCTGTGAGTATTTAATTCCAAAAGCATACATTTTGAAAACAAATAACCAAAAAAAAAGAAGCTGAAAGTATTCAATAACATTCAATATCTATACTACATAATCTGTTACCTGCCTTTAGTCATGCCAGTCATTTGATTTCTAGTCAATGGATAGGTACACATCGGATGAACGAAAAGCAGTTGTATCACTAACTGTTGAAGAACAAATGGGTTCTGGGGAGTTCTTCTGCTTGCTTAATGAACGCCAGGCATCAATACTTGCCAATTGCTCTGGATCTGCACTTGGAAGTGGTTGTTGATCAAGCATTTCCAAAATCTTGTGTGCTTTACCGAGAAGAACAATTGCGTGGCGAACACTTTCTTCCCTTTCTTCAATGGTGCTGCGATGGCAATCCATGGGTATAACTCTTGGCAAGTTGGTGAGACAAGCACCTAATATGTCAGCTATCATGTTAGACAACCTCTCAAATAATCTCTCGCTACTGCCGTTGTAGTCTCCCATTTCATAATCCAACAGAATTGTTTGACATATTCTGTACATGGAATTCGCAGCCAGCACCTTGATGGGCCAATGAGAAGGGCTTTCCCTTAGACATACATAAACATCTTTCTTTCTGAATTCCAAGAACCTGTTCTTTGCAATATCAGCAAGCTCTTTGAGTACCTTTTCTGGGTTTTTTTCTTGGAGAGCGATCTTGTGGAGATCCACATCTAGCCATTTGTGATAAAGATCGATTCCTAACCACACAATTTCCGCTGCCTTCCTAATGTTTATAAATTCTCCTTCAGCATTCAAGTTATTCTCTACAAATCTGGCATAAATGAGGCCTTCGTTGACGCTCCTTATCAACTGTTTAATCGAATGATGGTCAATATTGGGGAGTGCAATTGCAATACTCGTTAGTGTCACCACTGGAAGAGCCCAACAATTGGGAGGTTCTTCGGCATCCAGAGAAGCAATTCGGTCATTGTCAAACTCACTCACTCCCTTCAATTCTTGCGAAGAGGTTGATTTCGCCAGAAGTTGTATGAGAAATTTTGGATGCCTCTTTTTCCCCATCAAAATCCAATGGCTAACATCACAATTGTTTTCCATCATCAGATCCACCAATTCTTCCTCTCCTTCAAGGTACAAAACAAAACGGCTGAGGTCTAGCTCTGAACCGGGCTGTGACTCAGATCCCGAGTCATTGTTTCCAACAGTATTGCTGTGTTGCAGAAACCACGTCAGTTTCTTGCAGCTACGATAGCTTATCAGAAACCAACTCATAAAGTAAATGGAAACGAGACTGACCAATTTGCTCGCCAACACTATTCCGGTCTGCATTCCAATACACAAGTCCAGAATCAGATTTTTCACATCATGGGTAAGTTTTCTTCCATACTGGCCACAGATTAGTAAAAGCTAATGGGCACTCTTTCCACTCTACCAAATACTGAATCCAGTACTTTTCCACTTGAAATGTGGGTTTACACGCCTTGTTTGCTTTCTTAGGGCACCTGAAATTGATAGCAGTGAACCATCTAAAAGCAGGGGCAATCGTTCCTGCAATCACTGCAACAATTTGGGTTACAAGAACCAAAGTAGTCGACCACATATAGTCAGACTCACCACTGCAAAATTTGATAGACCAAGGCATGAAATAAGATCGAAGCGTGGCTTCTGCTAAAGTCATGGCAGCTAAAAGACATAACGCCCCTGAGGCAGTGCACGTCGCAGACCGCCCTATCACAAACTGTGGGCTGCAGGTATGTGCCATCATCCAAAATCTCGTAAGATCATTTCTCAGTTTCTTAGCACTAGCACTACATTTCACATCATTTTCTGAACATTCTTGCAGAGCTATTTTGTGTTTTTTATTATATTTCAGATCAAAATATTTCTTAGTAGTTGGAACTGTCAAAGCTGTAGAACTCATAGTTGCAAGCAAAACAAGCATGAGAAACATAATCAGAGCATGTTCTTTCCAAAAAACATAGATTACCCCAGTATCCAATTGGATGCAGATGTTGACAATTGCAGTGATGACAAGGATTCCCAAAGCAACGATGTTCATGAGGATTTCTTTGTTCTTCATGTTTCCAAGAGAAGGAATTGAATTACCCATTACAGTACAGATCAAGGCGGAGCTACTGAGTTTGGCAAGCTGGTCCTGGCGGCGGGGCATGGAGGTGTTGAGGTCAACTGAGAGTTTGATAGCTATGGCTATGAGGGTCAGAGTGGTGGCGTTGAGAGAGAAGTATTTTGATGTGTAAAATATTGATGTATTGATTGATTGATATTGTTACAAGATTGTTGTGCTATGAGGGTCAGAGTGGTGGCGTTGAGAGAGAAGTATTTTGATGGAAACCATAACTTCTGGTGGCGAAAACCGTAGAAGGCATCGACGGCCATGGCAATTGCACAGGTGGCAGATGCTGTAGCTATGTAGATGCCGATCAACGGCATCGGCTGGCTGAATTTTGAGTTATTCAGGTTGCCATCGACGGTGCAGCCGACCCCAGCCATCTTCTTCTTTCTTATTCTCTATCTGTTTTCAAAGTGATCATTAGCAGGAAGGAGGTTGTGGACTTGTGGGGGTAGTTCATCAGCCATGGTTGGTTGAAATTTTGGTCTTGTTTGATTTCTTTTTCAGAAAAATTTTTGGAAAAAATTTTATACAAACAAATTTTTAAGTGTAATCAAATTAAATAATTTTTTTTAAAAAAAATTTCAAAATTTTATTTGGTTACCTATTTTCTAAAATCACTCTCTTTCTCATACACATAAAATCAATCACTTTTTTTAAAACTTTCTCTCCAAAATAATTTTTCAAAACCATTTTTAAAAAAAGGCAAACCAAACAAGTTTCATACTTTTTATCTCAAAAACTACTCTACAAACACAAACTAAACATATTTGTGTCCCAATAATTTTACTAAAATGTTATGACTTCATTCTTATTAATTCATAATTTATTTGAATGTATTTATGTAATAAAAATTAAATTAATAAAATATAAAATATATAAATAAAATAAATTCGAATTGATAATTTATTTTTTAAAATAAATTTTGAATTAATAAAAATAAATTTATAATTTTTTAAATAAATTTTGAGTTAATAAAGATAGATATGTAGTGGTGTAATTTCACATGCGCTGGACACTCGCAATATGAAATAAGAAAAATGATTTAGAGCACTAAAAGAAGAGTATTAAAGGAGCATTAAATTGTCTTTTTTTCTCTTTGTGTTTTGTCTTTTTCCTCTTTTCTTTTTATTTTAATTTTTTTTTAGGCATGCCACCTCACTAGAGTTGCTTTTAATGATCTTCTTTTAGTGGTATGTATCATAGTTGTATGAAATAATGTGGATCTCAGTGTGTGGGTGAGTCCGACAGTGGGTTCCACCTCTTCTGAGTATTATGTTTTTTTTTTTTTTTTTTCTTTTTAATTAACTTAAAGGTACTAGTTGTGGTTGTGGTGTCGCCCTTGCTATTAATCCCCGCTCAGTGTAATTGTTAAAATAAATTATAAATTATAATTTAAAAAGTTATTGTTTATGATTTTAATTAAAAAGTTATTAATTTATTTGATGTAATTATTTGATTATAAATTTAAATTGATAAGTAATATTTGTTAAATAAAGTGTGAAATAATTTTTTGAATTAATTTTTATTTTTTATTATTTACTACTTGTTTACATTTCTCATAAATAATAATAATAATAATAATAATAATAATAATAATAATAATTCATAGTCCATTTGAGTATTTTTCTATTTTTTTTAAATGTAAGAGTATAACCTTAAATTAACATGTCCATAGCAGAAGCTGAAGTAAAAGATGACCAATTTTTTAGAATCAACATTTTAAAATTAAAATAAATTATTAAAATATATAAATTATTAAAGTAAATTATTAAAATAAATTATTAAAGTCAATTATTAAAATATATAAATTATTAAAATAAATTATTAAATTATTAAAATAAATTATTAAAGTAAAATTTCAGATTTCCCAACTATTATTTTATTCATCAGAGTTGCGAGGGCTGACGCATGTGATGCCATCAGATATTACTTATATTTATTGGAGAAGTTTAGTCAAAATCTCCCTATTAGATTATTATTCATTATACGAGTAAATTATAAATATATTTTTTAAAATTTAATTAAAATATGAATTATTTTTTATGATTTTAAAAATTATATTTCACTTTTATGATTTCTAATTTCATATTAAATTATTTTTTATTAATAAATGATCAAGTCAATTAATACTTTTTAATAATATTATAAATATATTTTAATTAATAATTTAGGTAATTTTATTATTGTGTAGAAAAGAAATTATAAATTTTATTTTTTTAATTAATTTTGTTAAATAAAAAATTTTAACAGTGAGATATTTATAATTTTTTAAACTACAAAAATAATTTATATTTTAAATAAATTTTATGAGGTATATTTGCAATTTAACCTACTTATATTTATTTTACCTAAGGTATGCCACTGGCCGCATATGACAAATTATAAATAGATAGAATAGTCACCAAATAATATAAGAATATTTTTTGGTACAATTTTGACATAGAAAAGTATTATACCAAACGCATGAATGGACTTGTACCATACACGTAGCGGTGGCAGCTGCTGTAGCTATGTAGATGCCGATCAATCACTAAGGATTTTATAGAGCGTTTTTTTTTTAAGGTTTTTTAAAGTGGTGTATTATGTGGTTGAGATTTAATGTTGAAAAATTGATGTGACTTGTCATTAAATCTCAACTACATAATGTATCACTTTAGAAAACTTTAGGAAAAAAAACTCTAAAAGGTCCTTACTCCCTATCAATGGCATCGGCTGGCTGAATTTTGAGTTATACAGGTTGCCATGGACGGTGCAGCCGAGCCCAACCAACTTCTTCTTTCTTCTTCTCTCTCTGTTTTCAAAGTAATCTTTAGCAGGAAGGAGGTTGTGGACTTGTGGGGGTAGTTCATCAGCCATGGGGTATTAAAATTTTTCCATAATTTTACGGTTAGAAAAAAAAAATTAACTTATTGATTTATTTAAATCAAATTGTTTTTGTATTTTTTTATGTTTTTTTTTAAATTCAAAAAAATCAGAATTTGGGTTGCGTTTGGTATAGCTTTTGAATCATGATTCTACCTTTTAATTTGAGTGCGATGTTTGTTTACAGTTTTCAAAAATCATTTCCACACCTGCATTTAAAAATTCGTATATCCGGATGTCTCCTTGGACGTCCAGCCAGTCGTTATGCCGGTTGACCAGAACAGTAAATTTTATTTTATTTTATTTATTATTATTATTTTTTTGCAATTGACACATTAATTTTTATATATTGGAAAAAAATATTTTTTGAATTTTTTAAAATTTTTTATGAGCTTTAATAGAATTTTGTGTTGTGTATTTGGTTATGAGTTGTAAGTTTTTATATCAAATATTGTATACCACATCAAAAATTTCCCACTCAATTGAAAACTCTTTTTAAAACTCTTTCATCAAACAAATTTTCTATACTCAAATCATAATTCCAAAACTCACAAATTCAAAATACAACTCTTACTCTCAAATCATATTTAGAAGACTCTACCAAACGTAATCTTGATTTTTTTTTTCTACTTTCCAAATATGTTGTGTCCCAATAATATTATCAAAAATGTTATGGATTTACCATTATTCACTCAAAATTTACCCGAATGTATTTATTTTATAAAAATTAAATTGATAAATTGTAGAATTCATAAATAAAATAAATTTAAATTAATAATTCTTTTACTTAATAAATTTTAAATTAATAAAGATAGGTTTATAGTGTTAATTTAATTACAATGTGCAGAACACTCGCAATATGAAATAATGCGTATTCCGGTGTGTGGGTGAGTCTTCATGTGAGAAGAGTTAAAATAGTCTAGTTAATTTTTATTATTTTAACTTGATTTTTTTAGTTTTGTTTGGCTTTTTTGATTTTTATGAGAGAAAGAATATAATTATTGTGGTTTAGATGTGACATTTTATCTTATTAATTTAAGTAGTCAATTTTATTTTATTTTTTTTGTGATTTTTTAACCAAAAATCTATTGCCAAACAGAGCTTCAACAGTGGGTTCCTTATGTTTTTTTTTTTTTATTTTTTTATTTCAGTTTTTAACCCTTTAATACTAGTGGTGGTTGTGGTGTCACAGGTGTGGCCCTTGCTATTAATATGGCCCTTGCTATTAATATGTTGCCACTATAGGAAGATTGACATTTCTGCAGCAACATCCTATGATTTCCCAATTATTATTTATTCATCAGAGTTGCGAGGGCTGACGCATGTGATGCCATCAGATATTACTTATATTTATTGGGGAAGTTTAGTCAAAATCTCCCTATTAGATTATTATTTGGTAAAAATAACATCTCAATTTATTTTACTTCATAAATTACTTAGGAAGAAAATTCATAATTAAGTAAGAATAAAATAAAATATCTTTTTTTTCTTAAACAATAGGGAAAATTGGCCTAAGGTCCTTTCCCAACTTTTGATAGGAGGAGAGGTATACAATAATATGTTTTGATAGCTAAGGTCTCTCAACTTTATTTTATGTTATAAAATACCTAATTTACCCTTCGTTATAACATAAGATCGTTTGGATTTTAGCAACTGAATATTCTATTGCTGACTTCACGGTGGAGATTTTGGAAACTGATTTCGTGGTGGAGATTTTGTTAGAGATTTCGTAGGGATTTCGCAAGTGTTACAGTGGAGTTGACGATAGAGATTACAACGATTGTGTAGGTGTTATAGTGTGTTGATCGCGTAGGTTTTTCAGTGGAGTTGGATCAGATATGGTTTCAATAGAGATTCCACATGAATTTTTGATTTTTGTTTTGAATTTTATGTAAGGATTCTGATTTCATATTAGTTTTTCAAGTGTATTTTTGCATTAGGTTTTTGTTTTCAGTTTTGATCAATTTAAAAGAGAGGCTAGCTCTGTGAAGTTATTTATGATTTTTGGAATTAATTTTTCATTTGCTGTTATTAATCAATTTTAGACAAAGGCCAGCTTGATAGAGTTGATTTTTATTTTTGGAATTAATTTTTCATTCTCTGTTTTTTGATCAATTTCAATGTGTGGTTGATTTTGATGTTTAGAGTTTATTTTTCATGCTCTGTTTTTCATCAACATGCTGATCAAAGTTCATTTTTCGTGTTTTGTTTTTCTTCAACATGCGGATCAATGACAAGTTTTGTTCTCTATTTTTTCAAATCAGAGAAATTTGTTTAAACCAGAGAAATTTCATTCTCTGCACTTTTGTTGGTATAGTCCAGAGAAAATTGTAAGTTTGTTATTATAGTCCAACAAAAATGACAGAGAAAATTATAAGTTCATATGAACATATTGTTAGAAGTTTCTAATCCAGATAGAATCTGAGAAAGTGAATGTAAGTTCTTAAATTTCTCTAGACTTTTATTTGTAGTTGAGAGAAAATTATAAATTTGTTATTCACTTTCAGTTTGTAGTTCAGAGAAAATTATAAGTTTGTAGAAAATGAATATAAGTTCTTGTTTCTGTGAGCAAAAGTTTTTTTTTTTTTTTTGTTTTTTTCTTTCAATTTAGATGGGCAGTGCAGTGTTTTTTTGTTATCTTAAAAGTG